TTTTAAGATAATTATTTAATCAACAGGGAAAAGAGAGCCTCTCATAAGTTATCTATTTCTACTGTCAATTATATGGTTATTTAAACAGTATTTTAAACTTGTACAGCACTATTCTTCCAGAAGGATCACAAAATGCTTTGACTATACATACAGCACCACTGAAATACAGCTATCTCTGAGTGCAGGATAACAGCCAGATAGCCTGCACTCCACACAATAATAGGCTGAGGGTAAATTTTGGCCAAGGATTTTAGGTCAAACCTGAAAAGCACCACAGCATCTTTATTATCCCAAAGAACAGGAAGGATCTTGGTTTTTAAGGTCTTCTCTCCTTCCCCCCAAACCCCAATAAATTAAAAAACAGACACCTGCAAACTGCTTAAAATTAATTATACCAAGCATGGCAGGATCACAGCTCAATAGAACCAGTGGGCACTGGAACCTTTGGATTCAGTGATTCTGGGTGTTCCAAACCTATGCTTAGATGATTAAGCCATCCCCTTCACCTTTTCTTTTTCACAAAGAAATGCAATGTGAGAGAGTTACGGTATGCATTTGGGTCTGAGAGAAGTTGAATTGAATTAATTAACAAAGCAGATAGAGAAGTATTTTAACATTCTATGGAATGAGAATTTGGATGTTCACTCTGATAACTTGCTTGTTTATAAATCAGCAGGAAATAAGATCAACTATTATTCAGTTGTGCTCCCTGTTTACTCACTCATAGTTTTACAAGGGTCTGGTGCAATGGAAAGAGGACCAGAGATACAGTAATTATATTTTGTATTTCATTCTTTCTGAAGCAAGCTCCATTATTTTGTATCTTTTCTCTTCTTGGCTGTACATTCTGTACCACCATCTGTCGTACTTCATGAGAACATGAGGTTTCCAAAAGGTTTCTGCAGGTTTTTGACATATAATACAATGTATCATGTTAGTAAAATAATAAGTAGCAATTTACAGCAAACTTAACACACATTATTGTCAGCTTATGTTATCACTTTATAATATAGCATTTCCCAAAGATGTATCCTTTGTTCTCTAGAGTCTCAGCTTTCAGGGATAGCCTGTTACAGTTTGGGAGAGAACCTTCCAAACATGATCCAGTTGTAACTGATGCAGTATCATCTGTCTGAATTGCAGAGAGCCTTGAACAATAAAGTTGAGGTGAGCACAGCCCCATTCATCTTTATGGCTGCTAACTTAGCTGCCAATGATATTTTTAGTGTCAGTGTTGCTCACTGATTCATTTCTAATCAAAGCATGAAAGAAAGGAAAGGAATCATCAAGAGTATGAAGAGCTATACCAGTAATTCCCAAAGTATAGGGGACAGTCCCAGCAAAATAGTTGCAGGGAGCTTGGTTCAGGCCTAGGTCTACTCTGCAGACGCTCTTGTGATAACTGTGAAGGTACCAGTGTTTCACTACAATGTGCCTCAACGTTTCTATTGCATAGTAAGGCTGATGGGAGGCAGCATATGGAAGGCAACAAGTGGTGTGGAACAGCTATTTTATTCTTAACACTGAAGTAGTGCTGGGTCAGAGTTGTAACTAGGCATTTTAGCATGCTGGGCAAGCAAGCATATTTGCTCCCCTCACTGTTTTTTTTTAAGATGATATGAGTCAGGATATTATAGTGTAATGATAATGCATTTATTTTTGCATAGACAATAAAAGCTATTATATGATTCTTTTAAGTGCCACATTAATTTTCACACAGTCCTTTAACATCCCTATAGTATCCTCCTATATACCCTTTAAGTAAACTCATTGATAGGTACTAAAAAAAATTGACTGAAAATAATGGTAACATAAATATGGATACTGCACTGACTTAATGGCATGAAACATATTCAGAAAGACATAAAATTGCATTTCTGTTTATAAAAAAAAAAGCGATGGTCGTTGTACATCATCCCACAGTGAGACTGGCTAGAATAAACAGCCACCTCTCTCAGTGACACAGCGGAGAATAAGTGGGATTCGGGACTCAAGAGTAAGCAAAGAATTAATTTATCGTGGAAGTGGATTATCTAGAAATTGAATTACCAACATAGCATCTGACTCTGTATAAGCAGAAGCCACTCTTTCTCTGGCTTTTATAAGAGGGAAACAGCCATTTTGGGTGGGGCTGGGAGAGGTTGTAAGATTTCTGGTTTTTACCTTTTGCATTGTGATTTTATTTTTCTAAGAAGAGTATTGATTGTTTGCTTCCTGCTACAATATTATGGTTGGCTTATACCTGATCATTTCTCAGGCTGAATCCTGCCAAGCAAATTGCAGTTATGCCCCTTTTAATTATAACAGCATGGCTTGTTTGTATATGGCCAGTATGAGAAGTGTCATTCAGTTGGGAAAGCTATGTTGTGACAGCTGATAAGAGACATGACTCATCTTGGCAGGAAGTTAGACTAAATGACCCTTGCAGTCCCTTCTGACCCTATGGTTCTATGTTTGACTTCTGGCCAGATGAGGCCCTTGACAGCTATGTGTGGAGACAGAAGAAAGTATATAGCTGTCGTGATTGTGAAATCATACTATGCTGTGCTTCAGTGTGAGACAGTGCCAATACCATAGTTAAAATGGCTAGATGAACATATCGAGGTGATGCCCCAGTCTCTCAGAGAAGGGTGTCGGGAACAGATTGGCTGGGTCACAGCCCAGAATGCTACAAGCACAGGTCACAGTAGACATGCTTCTTTGCCGGTGCATATCTCACCAGCAGCCCCAAACCAGATCTGCACCCAATGTAGATTTCCCTATTGGTCTCTTCACCTGTACAGTGAACGGCCTGTATTTTTATCTGTCTGGGCACAACTGAAAATTGTCCTTAGCCCAAAATTAGAGGCCTTTTAAAAGAAAAGCCAAGATGTGGTTAGCATTCTGGGCCAGTCTGCCCTAACGGTGTCAATTCCCTGATGTGTGAGTGCACCTTGCTGGCCGTTAATGGAGCATTATAACAATGGGTCAAAGGGAGACTCCTTATTTTGTTCTCTGTAGTAACGATTGGGGCAGCAACAAGAAGGGTAGATCACAGTAACAGGAAAACACAGTCCAGGAGGGAGCAGGGTGTGTGTTACCCCTTACTGAGTGTGGCTACTTGTGCAGTGTTTACTTTCTTTGTTTCTACTGTTGTTTCTCCTAACTGTAAATCATAAGCAGCCCAGGACTTCTTCATTTTTCTTGTCTGAACACTTCCTCCTAAGCATGGAAGCCCCTCAGCAATCAGGGCAGGTGGCTTATCCCATTGGGGTAACTGTTTACTCCCTCGGCCCCTCCCTGTGCTGGGGCTTTGCTGTCTGCCTCCATCTGGCAGCGCCTCACCCCTGGGCTGACCCCGGCTCCTATCCCCACCCTCCAGTTTTGCTCCTTGGCCCCTCTCCTGCCCCTGCCTCCAGCTGTTTGACACCCCCTCACACAGTCAGTTTCTGCCCCCTGCTCAGACCCTGCCCATCCCTCCCCGATTTGCCCCCCTTTAACTTTTTTAATCCGCAGCAAGGGCAGCAACTTCAGCAGATGTTACTGAGCAATGAGTGTGCTCTTAGGAGCCAATTAGCACTCAGTGCCCTTCCTGCCTGCCACCGTGCCAGAGTCCTAGTGCCGTAGAGCCTGCTCCTGGGGGGTCACTAGGCCAGCAATCCTGCTGGGAGCAGGGGGGTCTGAGCATCCTGGACTCTGCCTGCACCTGATCCTGCAGTGGGGGGGATGACACTGCTGGGCCCGATCCTGCGCACTGCCCCATTTTTGCACCCCTGGCAGTTCTGCACCCTGGGTGTCTGCCCCGCTCACTCCGCACTAGTTACGGCCCTATGCAGGGTTTTCAGGCATAGACTTGATATAGTGGATAAGTGTGAATTTTGGAGAATTGGAGAGAAAGAGAGGAGCATGTTGAAGAGCCAGCACGCCCACGTCTCTCCTTTCTATCACTTCACTTTCCTCCCTCCTGCGAGAGTGGGTTCTGATAGGTTTGGCTCCTCTATTTTTGGAAGCATAGGGAGTGACTGTAAGACTCTGTGTGACTTGCTGATGGACATACAAAGTTTTAATATTAGCAGAGGTGAGTCATGAACTCAGGCATTCATGTCATGCAGGTCCACTCTCAGATCTCTTGACAACATCTTCTCTACCCAATATAATCATGGCTGCCCCAGTGAAAAATATTGATATCTCCATGCTGAAATCTTCCTTTTATGCTGCTGTAGGATCAAAATATCTGCGCAATACACCTCTACCTCGATATAACGCTGTCCTCGGGAGCCAAAAAATCTTGCCACGTTATAGTGAAACTGCGTTATATTGAACTTGCTTTGATCCACCGGAGTGCGCAGACCCGCCGCTCTCCCCCCTCCCCCAGAGCACTGCTTTACCGCGTTATATCCGAATTCGTGTTCTATTGGGTCGCATTATATCGAGGTAGAGGTGTACCTGATTTTCACTGGATGGACCAAAGCAAATTTTGCGATATCAAAATGTTTGTAAGATCTGTATTAAATGTACTCTCCATCATAGTTAATGGACAATTGTCAGGTTGCAATATCCACATTTAAAAGAACAACCCATGGGGAAAAACAACGGCCTTTTAAAATGTGTCTTTGTATCTCACTGTTAGCAATAGCTCAGTAAATTTTATCAGTAAGTTGAACTTCCAATTGGGATGAACCACAATAAAGTCAATGGGAGTTAAATTTAAATTTTAAATTTTTAAATTAATGGAGATATCCTATCTCCTAGAACTGGAAGGGACCTTGAAAGGTCATCAAGTCCAGCCCCCTGCCTTCACTAGCAGGACCAAGTACTGATTTTGTCCTCGATCCCTAAGTGGCCCCCTCAAGGATTGAACTCACAACCCTGGGTTTAGCAGGCCAATGCTCAAACCACTGAGCTATCCTTCCCCCGTGTTTTTTTTTTTTCCATTGACTTCACTGGGGCCAGGTACATAAGTCATAAGCATATTTTTATTTTTTACTTATGTATTTATTTTTGCTTGTTTTATTTTGCAGATCGCCCATGGATTTGGAATATTCCTTATACCAAAGCACCTGATACACATGGAAACATGTGGGTTCCATCATAAAAGCTTCAAACCCACTGTGAGATTTCAGCATCTGACACTGAGCCTCCTACCATAGCTATGAGACTAATTAATTATTTCTGATTTTCACATGTGGAGTTGTGCACGGGATAACTAGCTTCTTCTTATGTCATATGTCAATAATATTGAGGAATTGTTTTGGAGAGGAGAGGAAGGGAGAATCCTTGGAGAATATGTAGCTATATTGATCTTTATAGACCTCCCAAAAATATAACACTGTAATTTTAAACTACCATTTTATATTCTCTTCTTATTGTAGTGGCCATTGCATTTTGGAAGGTGTTAAAATGACAGTGTAAGCTTATGTTCAAGGTTCCCACTGTTTTTAGCCAGAATATATTCAAATCTGTTAGTATTCTTTTGGACTGTTTTCGGGCCCCTCTTGACCATAGTAAGAGATTTGTATGTACATTTTGAAATTAGAAAGTGAATAAAAGGAAATTTTGTTACATTTTTCATCAATATGAAACCAACGTCTTTGGTAATTACTGTCCTCTCCTGTGAGAGCTTAACAGAGTTGAATTCATTTCCTCCCCATTTTTTTCTTTTTTTTATCCCAAATCCTGTCCAAAACACTCAGTTTAAGTAGCTGGACTTGAGTGCCAGGGAGCTACATGAGGCAATGAGGTCACATGCATCAGAGCTGCTCTGCAATTGCTGCTCCAGTCTAAAAGCCCAACAGTACAGTGCAATTCTTCCTGTATAACCCCCGCCATATCCCAACCAAATCTGTCAGGATAACTATTCCAGTTCTGTCATTTAGTCTTTGTGATCCCTTTTGGAGGAGGATGTTGCAGAGTGCCCAGGGGAGTAATGCTGCTTTAAGCAGTAGTAATTTAATGTTCCCTTTTCTGCAGATCCAAAAGAAGAGCTGCTACATAAGCCCTCCCCCCACATTCAAGTCCCTTCATAATAGTCACTTCTGCTGTGACACCTACATAAAATTAACCAAGTTAAGGCATCCATTTAGTGAAAACAAATAAACCAGAAAACCTTATCCTCTTTGCTAAGGCATGCCAAGTACCAGCCCTCTGAGTAACCTGTAAATTGTTACTCCTGTCCTTGCCCTTTCTGTTGTCTTGCTTCTCCTTCATTAGTCTCAATGTCATTCTGGGATGTATTAGCAGTAGTCTAATAAGCAAGACACAAGAAGTAATTTTTCCTCTCTACTCTGCACTGATTAGACCTCAGCTGGAGTATTGTGTCCAGTTCTGGACGCCACATTTCAGGAAAGATGTGGACAAATTGGAGAAAGTCTAGAGCAGAGCAACAAAAATGATGAAAGGTCTAGAAAACGTGACCTATGAGGGAAGACTGAAAAAATTGGGTTTGTTTAGTCTGGAAAAGAGAAGACCGAGAGGGGACATAACAGTTTTCAAGTACATAAAAGATTGTTACAAGAAGGAGGGAGAAAAATTGTTCTCCTTAACCTCTGAGGATAGAACAAGAAGCAAATGGGCTTATATTGCAACAAGGGCGGTTTAGGTTGAACATTAAGAAAAACTTCCTCACTGTTAGGGTGGTTAAGCACTGGAATAAATTGCCCAGGGAGGTTGTGGAATCTCCATCATTGGAGATTTTTTAAGAGCAGCTTAGACAAACACCTATCAGGGATGGTCTAGATAATACTTATCCTGCCATGAGTGCAGGGGACTGGACTATATGACCTCTCGAGATCCCTTCCAGTCATATGATTCTATGTCCTGTCCAGTGGATTCTGTAAGCTCCTTGGAGCCGTTGTGGTGCCCTCTCTGTTCTGTTTTGGATGCCAATGAAAATAATGTCATTTAGGTGCAGGGGGAAGAACTGCACTGGCCAGACCCCTTGAGAGGTGGCTACACAGTGGTGAGAATAACTTCTATAACCTATGTCTATACCACAAAAATTGCCTATTGCTGATCATTGCTGCTAGCAATGGATGCATTTGAACTGGTTCAAAATCAGGCATAGCCTGGGACAAAGCATGGTTAACACATACTCAGAGCTGTTAGGAATAAAAGATGCTCAACTCCCGATAGCTTTGAAGCACATTCTCTGAAACTGTTCTGAGCACAGTTTGTCCTGGGTCTGTACTTGAGGTTGGGTTCAATTATACCCACTGCTGACACCTGTTGTCAGCAATGCATAGTTCCTGCAGTGCACTGCCACTATCTTCTGCATGACACCACAGAGTTTTCACAGTTTTGTTCTCCACTGTGCACCATGGAGAAATGCATGTAGGTGTTCCGATCAAGGATCTCGTCCCACAGATCTATTCTCTAGGGCTAAATTGAAGTCAGAGGGGTGCCCCATTGTGCATACAAGATTTTGACCCTTTTTGATCTAGAATTTGACCACTTAAAACTCATTTAATATCCCTAATAAACATGTATCCTATTCTGAGAGTTCTGCAACTAACCTACCCCCGAGCAAGGGGCAATGCATTTGTTGTGCTGCCCCTGGAGCAAGCTCAAAGACAGATCATGATTCAGAGAGTGACAATCTGCCTTCCAGATGCCCCCTTACTCTGAGAGGAAAGTACCATGTGTCAAGTCCATAAATGGTACAGGGTAATTCTCCCCTCCCTCCCCCTGCCCTGGTACACAGACATAGCTACAACAGACAAAAATATAGCATTTGAAGTTGAAACATTCCTACCCAATTTGTAATTTCTTATTTCTACTTGCAGTCAATTGAGAAAGAATTTAAAAATGGCACACTCTGTCTCTAAGCTAATTTTATCTGTGTGCAGTGACTTGACACTTCCACTATTGGGCCTTTGGAACTACAGATATAACTTCAGAGGGGTCATTATGTACTAATGGCTTATGACATCCAAAAAGGAAATGCAAAGTGACAGATGGTGTATATTGCAGTAATAACTCTGCCGTATGATTGTTTTCGATCTTCTGTTCTTAACTAAATACTGTCACTGAGTTAATTACATTCACTATATACCAAAAGGTTGGAGTGGTTAACATGGAAACAAGCTAATTTATATAAGTAGTTGAACTATTGATTTACAGATGAAGAAGTTATTAAAATGGACTTTGATCAGTGTCTGGCTTCAATTTTAATTCTGAAAAGTTAATAACAGAACAGTAGGGTCTTTCCATGGTAAATCTCTGGTTTTTAAATATGGCCTTGAATGTGTAGTTATAGCCAGTAAATTAGTATATTTTTTAAAAGCCACTTGTATATTGTAAGTCCTATCTACTTACTTTGCTGACTAGATTGTTCTAGTCTAACAAACTACTGTTTTACTCCAGCTAGCCCTGCAGAGCTAACACAACTTTCAGTGAGTGATTTGGATTCTAGTCTGTTGATGTACGAATCAGACTAGAATCCAATTCACTCACTGAAAGTTGTGTGGCTCTGCAGGGCTAGCTGGAGTAAAACAGTAGTTTAAGTTCCATATGTTTAATCTTTACTTCTTATGAAATCAGTGCTAGAAAGAATCCAGTTGCACTCTCACATTCTATGTTGAGTTTGCAGAGATGGAAGTCAGGAAAAAGTCTTGTAAATGGAGCAGATTTGCTCTGAAAATCATTGAGACATAATAAACAAGAAATCTTGCGCGCACACACAAAAAATCACCCAAAACAAAACCCCAAAATGGTTACTTACCTGTTCTGTAGCTGCTGTTCTTTGAGCTGTGTGCGCAGATGTGTATTCCACTTAGGTGTGTTCGAGTGCACCAGAGTCACAGACTTTTTCCCCACAGCAGTACCTGTTCGGGTAGCGCACGCGCCCTACACATCCTCCTGGCCCCTCCCGAGTCAATATAAGGGCTGCACTGCCCCAGCCCCTCTCAGTTCCTTCACAACAGAGCAGGTAGTTTAAGACTCCAATATAGAGGGGATGGAGGGCAGGTCATGGAATACATATCTGCACCCACAACTGGAAGAAAAACAGTTACAGAACAGGTAAGTAACTGTTTTTTCTTGTTCGCGTTGTTGCAGGCATGTATTCCACTCAGGTGACTCCCAAGCAGTACTGTTTGGAGGTAGGTTCAGAGCCTACTTGAATAATGATTGAAATATGACTTTGCCAAAGTTCACATCTGATCTAAAGGTGGTTGTGACCACATAGTGCAAAGTAAATGTATTTACTGAAGACCCTACAGATGTCCAGAATGGGAACATCCCCAAAGAAAGTAATGGATGCAGCCTGAGCCCTTGCAAAATGGGCCAAGAGTCTTTGCAGAAGTGGAATATTGACTGCCCTGTATGCCATTGTAATGCAAGAGGTTATCCAATGAGACATTTGTGCTGACACTGCCTTGGCCCTTCATGTGATCTACATAAGACACAAAATGACAAGAAGACTGTGTGAAGGAGTTAAAAGCCAGTGCTTTCCTGACATCTAACTTATGTGGATGTTCCTCATCTCTGTTAATTTGCAATTTGGGGAAGAAAACCAGAGAAGTATTGTCTGGTTTAAATGCAAAGCTGACACAACTGTAGATAAAAACTTCAGGTGTGGTCATAAGGCTGAATACTGACAGACAAATAGCTGGACTCAGTCTGTTTCACCTGTGTGTTAGTATTGTTAAAATAGGTATTAGAGTTATAAACATGTTTAGTGTTTAGACTTTATTGAATGCTTGTAAGTTGCTGCATGCATTAATCCCGCTTATAACATTTGTATGCCATATTGTAAAGTAATATTTGAGCATTTGCATTGGAAGCCTCTGTTACCATATAAATAACCAGACAAGAGAGAGACATTAAGTGTGAAATACTGTCCTTCAACAGAAGGTGTTATGTCCTGCCCAAAAGGAAGGCCCATCAACACCAGACAAACTGTTGTGAAACATCAAAAAGGACAAAAGACTTTGTTGTTTGCTCCCCGCACCGCCTCCCTCTCCCCCGCAATGAAGAGGAGACGTACAAAAGAATTGTTCCCATCAGCTGAGTTGGCAGTTTGAAGCAGAATGGGGGAAGGGAGAAAACCCCCTAACAATGAGGAACTGTAACTCTGCGCTGCTTGGACTCTTGAGGGCAAGGTTTTCTGGGCATAAGCAAGAGATCCCTGGGTTAGCCCTAAAGGACATCTAGGGCTTGCTTATTATAGAAGCTGCTGAACCTAAAGAATCTTTTGAACCTAAAGATTGGAACTCATTTGTGTGCATGTTTATTTACCTGCTTTAATGTTGTAAATAGCTCTCGTTTCCTTTTAAATAAATCTTTATATAGTTTATTACCTGATTGGCTACAGGCATTGTCTTTGATGTGAGATCTAAGCTCCAATTAACCTGGGGTAAGTGACTGGGCTTTGGGACTGGAAGTAACCTAAATTATCCTGTAATTCTTTTTTGTATCCTTACAAAAGTAAGATTGCCTAGGTGACAAGATAGATCAGAGTACCCAAGGGGGACTGTCTGTGGCTCCATGGTTATGCTTTTATAGTGCCTGAGGAGTTTACCCTTGATATATTTGGTTGGTGAAATATAAATATAGATCTCTCAGCCAATCTGGGGTTTGTGCCCTGGTTCTTCACAG